CAAGAAATTGATTCCCCGTAATAACTAATAAACTTTTATGTCCTCTCAGAGTGAATATCGGAGTGATATACCTGGAATTACAATGTCCCCTCAGAGAGGACAACGGAGAGCAAAGGGCTAATATTCCTCCATAATATTAAAAGGTAATTTTGAGATCCACAGAGACTACAATCCGGAGGAGATTGTAATAGCGGTCTACGAATGAGGATTGCGTAAAGCAAGAAATCGAGGCGCACCTCTCCACGTCAGCCACTAAATACTTCTGGTCCGCAAGAAAAACCCGAGTTTCCCCTGTGGAAACTTCGGCTGGCGTGCACGAAGGGTTAATCGTCCGAGTCCGTAGAAATTTCTCGAGCGGCCGCGCGGTTCCACGAGAAAGAAAGCAGACCAGCGGGAAGCGGACAGGAACCGGATGCCGCGGCGGAGCGACGAAGTTTCAGGCTTTCGCAGCCTTCCACGCGGAAACGTTCTCTGATCTATCGCTACTTTAAACCAAAGGGAAAGCTGCGGCGATCCCGTGGAACGCGGCGGTTCCAAACGAGGGGAAATCGAACTTTTCCAATTGATTCGACTTAAACCGCCGCCGGTAGAAATCGTTCGATTCGTGCAGCCTTTCCCCCCTCTCTTTCTCTTACTTGTCCTTACCCCCCTTCTCTGACTGAAACTTTTGGCTCCCTTCGTTCTTCTCTTCTGCCGTCATCGCCTCGTCGCGACGTTCGACCTCGCCTCGATCTCTCGACTCAACCGTGCCTCGAAGACCCCACGGCGAAATATCGCAAGAACTTTACCGAAGCCGAGCTCGCGTGCAGCTTCTTTGCTTTTGAGGCGTGCTCTAACCAATGTTTAGACCTTCCGACTTTTCAACACGTTTAAAGTGCGCAAGTGGTAGTTACAAAGTTCGTTTATACGGACTTGATTGCGTTTGTGCATGGTTGTGGCTCGATTGAAACCGTCGTACAGGGGTTAATTTGATTTACTTAGCTGGGAGAATATGAACCGTACAATTACTAGAAATTAGAGACGTCTAAGTGATGAGTAATTTTCAGAACGGAAATTTTCAAGTCACTAAATTTAGTAAAATTATGTATGTTGACGATGAAGGGTCTCGGAATTAGACGTCATAATACGTGTACATAAGTACTAGTGCTTAGAACATATTTTATACAAAATGTGAGTTGAAATAAATAAATAAAAGTAATATAACATCGTCATAAATATAATATATAAAAGTTGCGAAAATAAGTTTATAAATGTGTAACAAGAATTCTTACAGAAATACAAAATTTTAAAAAGATCTGAAATTAACTGATACGCTTTGTTTCTTTCATTTCGTGGATTCAGAGAAACGATACAAAATCGATTATTCAACGAAACAGGCAGCTTAAATTGCACTACGAGATATATTCTGATGATACAAGTAGTGTTGATCAACCGTTGATCATACAAGAGTAAAATCGTCTTCTCCAGACAAGTGAAATAGAATCGTTTTTCTAAACAAGTACAATAAAATCGGTTTCCCTAAAGAAGTAGATACTTTCATTCTCCTGCAAGTGATTAGAACGGTATCACTTCGTCTACACTCGTTGAATGAAACAGTAACTCTCTAAATAAGTAGGACAGAATCGTCTTATCCAGACTAGAAGAATAAAATTACCTTAGTCAGACATGTAGAATAGAATCATCATATTCCAGACAAATAGCCCAGAATCGTCATCCCACAGAGAAGTATACAAACGTCATCCCTAGAGTAGAACATTTCATGCAAAATGCGAATGCTAGAGTCACCCATAGTAGAACACGTGAAGTGGGAACGTGCCTGGTCATACAAGTAGAACATGGTCTGTACGTGGCCAGACAACCGGGATGCAATCCGTGTCTGGTTGTAAATCTAGGCTGGCATTTACTCATGGGCATGAGACGTGCTTAGACACTACACACCAGACATTCTTAGACTTCCTCTACCACTTACCGTTGTTTGTGAACTGCATCTTCTATGTCCTCCACGTATGGTATATCCTCCACGTGTAATAACGCGATAGAAATAACGTTAAACATGTTCACGACCATGTAAATCTCCATTGCGAATTCTTCACACTTTTCATCAAAAACTTTCCTAGCTCCAAGACAAATATAAATCATATCCGAAGGCCAAAGCAAGTATTCCCTCCTCGCAGAGACACAGACGTTCTGCGACTTCGGAACCCCAAATTAAATTCCGAGTACGCGAGACTTGTTTCGGCGTTCTCTCGTTCACTTCGCTGCCCCGTAGCCAGCTTTACACGCGCGTCGGTGGTAGTTTCATAGTTTTTAAAAGTCTTCCTGGAAATCATCCCGAAGTTCGCTGGAATGTTTTCAATCGTGGGACAATACCGGATGGAAAACTAATTTCGAAAGTACGCAGATGAGAAAAAGGAGGCCAGAAACGATCCGAAAGAGAGATTCGTAACGCGAGGGTCGAAACGGGGGAACCCCGATGCACGCTAACGTTTGCACGTACAACACGCGCTCCTGTGTCTAGAGAGATTGTCAGGCCAATAATGCGTTTCTCGCGGAAAAATCCAGCAAAGAGTACGTTCGGTCCAAAGATTTAGTCATTTAAAATGCATAGAGTTCATAACTTATTCCCAGACGACTGCCTCACTTCGCGGTAGGTATAGGAGCCTCACTCTGCCCCCTCGCCCTCTTTCGTGCTTCAGGAAACCTCACTCGTAACGTGTTTTCATGCTCGTGGCTCTTATGTTGTTTCGCTACTCCCATTTTGACATTTTACGTTGCTAGGAACGGGTCTGCCGTTGGTTCTTGCGACGATGGAACGCGATACCGAAGTCCCACCGTGGAACTCTCCAAACGGAATGTTGAATGTTTCGCATCATAATAGCGACTGCTCCCTCGAAAATATTTGCTCGTAAGATTTACTCATCGAAACATTCGACCATTAAAATTCACGAACTTGATAGTTTCGAAAGGACGTAGGCGATTTGCAATCGTCGCTGCGCACAAAGAATATACAAAGGGAAAATCCGCATGACAAATACGTCGCTCTTCAGATTTCCCAACTCGACACACCATGTCAACATATATCTACGCGAATCAATTCCGGTTCATCTCACTCACCACCCGCTTGTACAAGTTACACATCCTCGATATTACAGGCCGACATTGCTCAAGTATTACGGCACAAATTGGCTTATACGTGGTTACGACTGCACGTTTCTAAATATAGAGACGCGACAGAATATTTGGCAATTACGTAATCCCAGCAGCCACTAATTTGTCAGTCAAGATGATTCGAACAAACGCGATGGTACGTTCTATGAATACGTTTGACTGCGACTACTCCTAAAGCATAGTTTCCTCGAAAGGGGGATTATAACTGCGCATTGGAAACGTTACTAAGTAATCCTTTTCGATCGCATTCAGCTATCGATGTTGCGCCAGAAAGGTTCTCTAACGCGATTACGTGCTACGGTTAATAACACTTCGAACAACATTTTCAACGAATTAGCACTTGCGGAGCGGACAAAGGGACAATTTCAGTGCGTTAAAAGCGATACAACGTTATCTTCTCTAACCAATAGCAGGTACATGCGGACGATAAAACGGAATATCGATCGGTGACGCGTGTCGTTAATAATTGACGTCTCCCTTAAAGGCCGCTCACGGTAAAAGCTAACGCTTTTACTTTCCACTCGAATTTTATCAAAGGTGTCGCTTGATCGTCCGGCTAACGTGTCGACGATTCGTAGCCTTTACCAACGGCTCCGTTTCCCTTTTTCTTTTTTCTAAGCTGCGCGAAAGCTAAAGAAGTAAATGAGCAACGGACGACGGAGCTCCAACGGAGCGCGACAGCAGGGTTCGCGGACAAATGCGAAAAGCATGGCCGTGTAACAAGGAAAACGCGAGGAACTACGGTCCGAGACAAAATGATACCCCATTCTACGTTTTTGTTTAGATCCACGCGGGAAGCTTTCGAACCAGAAAATTCTGATTTATACGTACGCGTAATAAAATATGGAATTCAAATATCGACGTTATAGTTCGATAGAAAATAAATTATTTCAAGGCACTCTTAAAATAGTTCTATACATTTTATACAAGGCGTTTGAACTGTTTTCAATTTATTGTCAAATGAATGGACCACGACAGTTGAGAATCATTGGGCTCCTTTGCTTTCACGCGTGAATACACCGCTCATCCCTGTCTTTTTGTCAAGACCATGTAGCGGGTAAAGGGTAAAGAAACGACGTACGACAGAGTTCCGTAGCCGATGTTTAACGAGCGTGCCGGCAGAGTTCGCGGACAAATGCGAAAACCCCAGCTCTGTAACAAGTGAAACGCGAGGAACTATAAAAACCGTTTAAAACGCCGAGCCGAGCGAAACCTGACGCGGGAACACCAGTGAATTATTGCACGCCACTGAGATTTTATATTTCTCTTGCTCTCCAACCCCGTAGCACGCCTTTCGCGCCCCCGCATAATGGTTTAATTGGACTCCAACACACGGGTCTAACAATTAACCGCACACGTGGGAGGCCCCGCTCCCTTGAACGCGCACCGTCGCTGCTAAATGTCACCATAAAGCCGAATTATATTCGGATTAAGCACGGCAAAACTATATTTGCCCCCTGACAGCAGCTGCGCTTTTCGCTCGAGGGTCTCCGTTTCCATTCTTAACCCGTACTGATTGCGCTATCGATGTGCGAGAGATATCCATTCCAGAAAAATGGTTTCTCCTATTTTGTTCATTTAAGAGAATTCTTTTCTGTTAATAGCGATAAAAATTGAATCGATCTGTTTTGCACTTGCTCAACCCTTTAATTTGAGAGGAAACAAACTATGATCTATTACAAAAATGTTTGGCTCGGAAGGGAACATACTATCATAGACAAAAGAATTATTGTCTACCGATAAAGTCAAATTCAAACATGTAGGACATGTGAACCTCCAGATAATCTTCTAAGAAGTTATTCTTAGTGTGAGTGACAGGATTTGAAAAGGCATAGATCATAAGCGGTTTATTAACACTTTGCCATGACAATCAATACTTTGTAGGTAACGAATAGATATTGCTGAGATAGTATCGTATACTTCCATCGTTGTATAAAATATGAAATATTCAATAAATATTAATGTGCAACATTGTCATGAAAAAAAAAACTTACTAAATGTAATTACGTGTTCCACCGCTGCCGGACGGTAAAGTGTTAAGTGCCCGGAATAGTGAACTGACGTTTTTCACAATCAGAGCTGTTTATACTGTTAATTGCCGGATAGTTGCATCGCATGTGAGGAAGCGTTATTTTTACGCTTCCTCGTATGATTGCCTTATCTATTCTGACCGCGGAATGACAATTTGATTGTGCATATCGAGTAGACGTAACATCATCTCGCATGTTTTAAAAGGAATTACCTTCGTAAGGCTTTTGTCTCTCCTTTTTTTTTTACAATACTGCAAGCTTGATGGCCTTGAACTTAAGTATCATCTACTACTCATCTATTATGAATGAGTTAGATTAAGATTATACATTCAAGGTTTTTCGTCGATTTCATCCAAAGTGGATGTTGGTTGATTTTTACATGTTTTGGAAAATCGCACGGTTTGTTCCGCATCGGTATTTCGGTCGTTACTACTTCGTTTACAGCAGCAGGTACAACACTTGCAACAACACTTACAACACTTACAACATTTTGATATTTTGCATAATTTAAAAAGAATATAATAAAACAAACTTAGAATTCCTATTACCACTTCTGATATGTCTAAAGTTGACCAGTCATTGTCCGATTGCGTAGTGGCTTCAACATGCATTAAGATTTCCGATGCCTCCTCTGTTATTTCTGATAAACTTTTTGAATGCGAGCTAAAGTGTTCTGGTGAAATAATTGATTCATAAAATTCTGGAATTTTTGCGTATGCTAACGAAGTATCATCGAGCTCTTGAACTGTTACGTTTGTCATTCCCAAAGGAACTGTATGCATTGTGATGTCTGATTTTAATTTTGTTGGCAACAATGTAGTCGAATGCATATTGCCTACACAATCTGATGCAATTGAAATTATGTTAATTCCTTCAATAATTTTCGTTTCATTTCGTAAATTTTGACAAGTAATATTCAAACTTTCCGGTTTACGGGTTATGGAAATCCAAGTCTGTTTTGAATATAATTCTACCCAAATTGGGTTGAAGATTTTCGCAACTGTTTTCGGACAATTATTTTCTTCTGGTAATTGGTGAATAGCGCGTGATATACATGGATCTTGATATGTGGTAGCTAACATTGAAGTATCGAGCTCGCAAAGTCTATTCTTATCAATAATTACACAATTATTTATATGCGACATTTTGATTGGGTTATAATGCTTGGTAGAGTTATCTAATAATATAAAACGTTCAGTGATGGACACAAAATACATTAGTTTGTCTTCGATAAGAGGAACTGGAACAAGTTGGTAAAGTGAGTAAATTTCAGATTCCAAGATCGGAATTAAAAGTTCAAAGCAAAGTTTCGTCCTTTGAAGCCCAAAAATGTTAATCTTTATAATTTGTTGATAGTGGGAGACTTTATCTTTTTCCGCGGGATAAAACATTTGTTCTGGACCGAGTTTTGATTGCATTACTTTTAAAATAGTCAGAAGACTTACTTGATCAAACATAGCGGGATTTAGTTTACCTTGTATTCCATTAGTGATTAGACTTTCAAGTTTTACTACAAGCTGTGTGTACTCGGTTACAATTTCAGATAACGTTAGTAACATACTTAATTTGTGCAGTTCTTGAATATTATTTTCTATGATTTGGTTAAATAGTTCAGTTGTAGTTTGAATTTTATCTTTGTAATTCGTTAAATCTTTAAATAATCCTCGTGCAATAGTAGTCCCTTTATCCTTATATATTGCAAGTGTCTTATTATTAGCATAAAGATTGTCTATTTCTGAATTATAATATTCGGCATCTTTTGAACTGAGGGTTCCGAAGATGATATTTGCTACATTTTCAATAGGATTCAACGAACCACTTTCTTGTGTAGTTTCATTGAATATACGTATACTATTAAGTAGGCGACTTTTATCTTTCATTGCTCTAAAGAATCTGTTGAGTAAAGCTCTAAGAGGGCCGTCATATACCTGGTGTGAGGTTTCATGAAACGTTCTAACAGTCGTCTTGAAACAATTAATGATAGTGTCTTCTATGGCATCCAGATCGATTAAGTCATAGTTATACAAAATTTTCCATTGGCGATGGTATACCCTGGTGAGGCCCATGTTGTCAAAATATAAGTTTGGTACATCTTCAATTTCAGTAACTGTTAATATTGGGACCTCGGAAGCTTGGCTCCACGAAAGCAATATTATGAACAATCTGTAACGGAATATAAATTGTCAAAGTCAAAACTGTAGAAATACGAATTTTCATGAAAGTCCGCAGTCTAATAATTACGGACAATTTACGACAGAGCAAAGTAAAATGAATTGTCATCAGTGTGGATAATTCAAACACTAGGAAAACGACATTTCATATGCACTAACGCGATAGAAAACATTCACTTACCCGATTGTCCAAATCATAGTCTTCTTCAGAAATCGTTTTCGAATTGTTGTAGTACCGTTGACCTCCGTCTTCATGCCAAATTGTTGTCTATCCCGCCGCTGCCATTACAAAATGCGTCATGTTATGTCGTTCTGGAATTTTGCTTGCAGGAAACAAATAATACCTCCTACTATAATAAGTTTTTTTTCCTTAGAGCAACACAAAGAATTAAATATGCCGAGGATACCAATGTTTATACCTCGAGCGCGGTTTACTGAATGTCCAGGACAAAGAAGATGGCGGTCTTTATCTTCCTTCACAAATGAAACTGTCGGACTGCCAGACAGTCGCGCCGGATGCAAATAAACGTTATTTTTAAGCTTCCTCGAACGAGTGTTTTATCAATGCTAACTGCGAGATGACATCTCGACAGTGAATACCCAGCAGACATAACAATACATTCATAGCGGTTTAATTTTGTCATGATTGGATTGACCCATAAGTCCTGGCGTTTCTTTTCCTAATTTAAAATGTCGCGTTAAAAATAAAATTTCTGTGCGTAATGTTATATGTCATTTTAAAGAGAATTGTTTGCTCTAGAAGATAGTGTATCTCATTTGTTCGTTCGAATTAATTTTTGTTAAGTTTCAGATCTTGGTGTTGAAAGAGACAAGGGGAACTGGTTGGGAAAGGAGAGAATCTTCTTTTTAGCTTTCGTCGTGTTTAAAAGTATGGTTAGCAACTTGATGCTTTTCAAAGTGGATAGGTGTAGTCTCGTTGCTGAAGGAGATAAAAAGAGCTGTACAAAAAAGGAAACAAAGAACTTGTTTCTTTTATGAAAACGCGAAACGCTTGAGGTTACTTTATTCGTGAGATACTTTTTCTGGAGGAAAGTGGTTCATATCGTATACAGTTTACTCAACATATATGAGTACATATTAAGATGCACAACAAACTTAAGAAAGTACAAAAGAAGAGTACATATTACATCTTTTATTTGCAATATACTTTATTTTACTTATAATATACATTTCCCCTAATTATTATACATTGTCTGCCAATTTCCGAAAAAATGTGCATTCGGCACAATCTTTTAACAATTCTAGACAACAGAACAGTTAGGCATTTCTCGACATTTTCATTACCGTTCGCCGTTTGCACATGCGAATACATTTCTCCAGTAGTAGCTGATCAAACGCACGCGCGAAGTGGTTTTTGCGTGTGCCCTGGTAATAATTACACGAAACGAGGGAACTATTAGTACTGCGCTGAGCTTGTTCATACTGTAGAAGTGGTATTAAGAAATTACTAGAACGTGAAATTGAATTATTTGAGTTACTTCGCACGTAATACGTTTACATTGTCGACAGAACAAAACTGAGGTATAAAGTTTCCGTTCCACTGAGAGGAAAGTTATAATTATTATCTAAGGATAACAAAATTTTCACTTGGTAGCGAATTCAACAAACTGATTCGGATTCAAGATGTTCAAGTTGTATATTATATTGTTTATTGAATATAATAACCGTATAGTTACTACTATAATGTCTGGCCTAGATAATTCCAATAGCAATCATTACGATGCCTTTTTCCTTCGATAGTGGTTATGTTGAAACATATTATGCATAAATTTATTCTACGTAACCACTATAAAAATTTGCTAAACTTACGACGCTCCCTTATAGGAGACATCCGAGTTCAAAGGGTTAAATTGCTTTTTATCTTCGTGATACATGCATCGAAATATTGCCCACACTTTAAAGACTTATCCATACTAATGACACCCACACTCAAGCCAGAAAATGAAGTTTGCCCAGACGCGTTACGTCTCGTCATTGAAAACGCGTTTGACTTATCCCTTTCGAGGGTTCCACGGGACGCGAGTTAAATATTGATGAACTCGAAGGACTAAGTATTTCGAGGTGGAAAGCAGTTCTGCAAAGATTTCTCTACGTTTTCGCGCTTACTGCTTGCCGAGACACGTCGCCAAGGATATCCAACAAGGACAACTCAGAAGGAGGATAACGCCTTACAGGGGGCGAATAGCAGCTTCCAGCAACAGCTCGACGAATGATTTAATAATGTGTAGAGCATTAGTCGACCCGAGTAACGTAAGCGGAGATAATCCTTTTAACCAGTTGTCTAGGAATCCCTTTAATCCTGAAACCTGGGCGACAACTAATTCCGCCAGATATTGCGGGGTAACAGGGACTTGTATAAAGGGCCATTAGCGCCCTGTGTCATACGCAACGTTCATATGTTATATAGTTCCGCGTCTACAGCTGTATTATCATGTAAGATGCTTACACTTGTACGCATGATTGAATGAAGTAGCATTTAATAAATAACGTAACTAAATTATGCGCTTTTACCGTTTTGGAGGTCTGCGTGCTTTTAGAAATAAAAGAAAATTAAATGTAGAAACATAATATATATATAATTAACCCTTTGAGAGGACATCTTAATTCATGCAAACTTTTTCTATGTTTAAGAAAAGTGGCAAAGAATATCTGAATATGAAAGTAAGATGTATGAACATTCTTCGTACGAAATGGAGAAATTCTTGAAGATAAACAAGGAAGCCTATGATCGTAACCTAAATGATAAGAACTCTCAATGCATAACAGAATGTCAACAACAAATATTATGTGATAGATTCTGAATAAAATTTGTCGACGAATAATAGAGACTTGAAATATAAAGTTAAAGGCAGTTTACGTTAAAGCAATTATTGCGCTCGAACTGACGTGAATATGAAACCGTTATTTTAATACACCCAGTTGATCGTCGCGATATTTATTAGAATGTCGACAATTTTGTAATATAGAGTTGGAATTCTCATATTCGGATAATAATGAAATTCACAGTAATAATGATAATAATGATCAACGCCCTAATTGCAGAAGCCTCGAAGAAATTTCTGGAATTTCAATGTTTGGAATACTGTACCTACATAGATAGGGTGACACCAACATTCAACGGAATTCGCTATCTAAAAGGGTGAGCTTATTACAAGACTAGAGAGTTTACCGCGGTAAGGTCTGGTACGTCGAGCAATTTTAAACTCCTTTGCTTTGGCATGGATCAACATCTTCCCGTTTATGGTACGATATGGCCTCAGACGAGTTATACATCTAAGGAATATAGGTAATAAATGCTCATAAGGGAAGCTCTATCCTGAGGTACTCGTTGGTTAAGCATTGCAAGGACCGTTCCTCGGTCCTCATTTAATGCATTTTAAAATTTCAGATTATTATTATGCCGATGTTGAGAAAAAGTAATTGTGAGATATTTTTCTATATTTTAATATCTATTGATTGGACCGACTAAACACATTACATTAATTATAAACAATACTTATTATTTAAACAAGGATAGGGAATATTATTTTGCTGTGATATTAATGTTTCACGAATTATTTTCTCGATAGATTCAACGAGCCTTCGAATTCTCGGCCAGCTAAGCCCAAGTCCAAGCCCAATGGAAGACAAAGACAGTCTTCTTTTGTCAAAAGATAGTTATGCTAGTTGAAGAAGTAACGAAGATATGTCAGCATGGGGAGAAACCAAAATTCGATGAAATCGGCCACATAAAAGGGTGGGTTTATCGCAAGACTTCGAAGTTTATTGCTGAAAGGGATGGTATGGTGCGTCAAGTAATTTTAGACTCCTTTGCTTTCGCATGGGAATACATTTCTCCCCTTCAGATCGTGGCTCGACCTCTTAATGGTAATTGGCCCCCATTTCTAACGAGTCTCCGGAGGACCTGCGTGACATTGATTTAAATAATCCATAGGGTTGAATGAATGCTTTAATTAGGTGGGCTCGTGCTGCAGACCGTCCCCGTGCTCTTTCCCAAATTCGTTGCCCAAATACGGGTACGGTCGTTCCTCAAGTATTAATTCTGCGAGCCTTTTATTGTTTCTCGTCGAATGAATATTCATATATCCCTCTGCGTGCATCGTTAATCTTTCGAATTGATTATTTTCAGAATTTCATTCTGTCCCGAACCTTTGAAGTCGAGAATACTTGACGTTGTAGCATCTTATTCGACTGTTAATGACACTTGATTCAAAAAGTGCAGAAGAAACGATGAACTGTCAGTAAGTAAGAGGTTCGAAAGCACACACAAGTCGATTAGAGATTTTTGATTTCTAATCTCTAAAAAGTTCGATTTAATCCATTATAAATTCCAATAAACTTTGCCCACCATTGTCGTCCAGAGATCGTACATGTATAAATTCCTAAAAGCAAAGCTTAACGGTTTTAGCGGTGGGAAAATCCTATAAAATAAAGGGATCGAACACTTTCAAAATACTTTAAAGTGCATCGCCGTTCATTCCCGTCCACCGTGCAAAATTTTCATTTCCAAACAATGCGAAGCGGCGCGCCCGAAGAAGCAACAAATTTACAATTCAGCCGCTCGTAACGTCAATGTAGGTAAATCCAAAATCTCGTGGGAAACTGTACCGTCATATCGCACCTGTATAGACAGCGGGACAGTTATTCACGGGGAAAGAGTGACAGTTCGAATTTTTTTAGTCGAGAGTGTTTTCCCTGGTGGACGCAACTACCGATGATTGATTCCAACCAATGACGTCACGTTGCTCTGCAAGGGTGGAAGGAACGGTTGAAATAGCCACGAAGACCTTTGAAACGGTATCGACGACCCATTACACGGTTTAACGTTAGCGTTAAGTCCATTTACTACAGGCACAGGTATCTGTTCATCGTAGGTAATAGCGTGCTACGTCTGTGCTATAGACATTTCTTGTACTGATGGAAACCGATTACTATGAATTCGTTCACGATACACCAGCTAAAGGTTTGCGGGGAGCTTTCCATACGAAGGGCAATTCGATTAAAATTCTTACAGGAGTCGCTGTAATTTAATACATTACGGGATTTACGGGACAGTGTTCTATAAGTGTCCTACTCTAATTCGTCTTTATCATTATTTTCTACCCTTTCATTGTATAATTAATGCAGAATCTTATTGCAACGAAATAGAAGAATATAAAGAAATATCACATAGTCGCCAGAGCTTCAAGCACAACACTGTTCTGAAAGTAGTCTGTAATTGGATGTACTCTACTTGACTATAATGATTTTTCTAAAAGAGGAAAGTAAGAGGAAAGTAAGTTCTTCTCTCCCGAACATCAGCAATTTTCTTTTCGATTTTTGAATATCGTTTCACTTGTAACACCATTCAACAG